AGAGGACGTCCCCCACGGAAACGAGGCGGACGCCAAGAGAAGGACGTTACCGAGTTCCTCCAAGTCAGCTTCTCCAAGACAGGCCACCGGGAGCAGATGAACTGTTGAGAGCGGGTGGGAACCCGGGCCGGGGAGGCCGTGTTCGCTCAGCAGTGCAGCGAATGCCTTCCCCCCTCACCCGGCGGCCCGGGTGTATCCTGTAGTGTGACACCAACCCCTCCCCCTTTCCTCTTCTCAGATCGCAGTTCCCAGAGGCCCTCCTCAATCCCTACTCACACACACACACACACACACACACACACACACACGAGGCAGAGGAAGACGCCTCGATCAAGTTAGACTTCGGGGCGATCCTGCAGATCCTGCAGGGAACCTGATGAAACCTGCACCTTCTCCCAAGAGATCGGAGCAGAGGGGGCTGAAGCGCGAGCCTCCCTGCGCCCCCACACCCACCGGGCACCCGGGAGACCCGCCTGAGGCCTCCAAGGAGCTCGCAAGCCCAGCGGGAAGCCGCCTGAACGGGGCTCTCCACGCTGGACCCTGAGCCGTCTGGGGGTCCCTACGCAAACGCCCATCTCCAGGCGCGCGCGCGTGTATTTCGGGGAGCGGAGGTGAGCCCAGATGCCGGTCCGGCGATTCACCGAACCCGCGCCCGGGTGTGCGGGGCGGGGGCGGGGGCGGGGGCGGGGGGAAAGGCGGCAAGACTGGACTTGGCCCCCCTCCGGCCCCTGCCGGGCACTTACCATCATGAGCTCCTTCTGGAAGGACTTCCGCTCTTTGTTCTCCGTGTTGTTACAATCCTCCTTGAGCTTTTCCAGAACGGACGCCACCCGCTCGGGCTCGCTGTCCAGCTCGGCCCGGCAGAAAAAGGTGAGCGGCAGGTTGCCGTAGCCCAAGGCATCGGCGAAGGAGCGCCAGCTGCTGACGTTCTCCATGAGCAAGGTCCTGACCGAGGCGTAGATGTAGGTGAGGAACTTACAGGGTCGCAGGATCTGCTCCAGCAGCACCGAGGTGCTCAGCTCGGGCCCCGAGAGGAGGCTCGGCCTGGCCCCGCCCACCACCAGCACGTTCTTGGCGTGCACGAGGCCGACCTTGCCCTGGTGGTAGCCGATGTACCACTCCTTGGTCCACAGCTGCCCCTTCAGCCGGATCTTCTCCTCGCTGAGCAGCGCGACGCTGTCCCCCTTCCTGTACTCCAGCAGGTAGTGGTTCTTGCTCTGCCGCACCACGGTCTTGAGCAGCTTGCCGAACTTGAGGCTGGACACCGGGCGGTCCTGAAAAGTCGGGTATTTGGTGGTGGCAGCAAACGGGGACAGGATGATTTTCCCGACCTCGTTCTTCTTGAGAAACCGCCTCTGCCCGGAGGGCCTGATGGCACTTTTGGGGGGCGGCTGGGGAGTCTGCACGCAAAACTGCGTCAGGACGGCCTCCTGGCCGCCCTTCACCTGAACCCGCAGGGTGAAGTCGGACAGCTCACCAGAGCTCTGGCAGGTGATGGGGAAGATGAGGCGGCTCACCTTGCCCAGCTTCATCTGGAACCCCCTCACCACCTTGGCCTGCCCGCTGGCCTCGACCTCGTAGTTGGTCATGTTGGAAAACATGCAGACGTGGAGATCCTGGGGCCTGGACAAGACGAACTGGTGCTTACCCCAGAGCTGCAGGGCCACGGGGGCAGGGCTGGGGGCCTGGCGGGTGACCTCGCTGACCAGCAGCGTCTTCGGGGCGCAGTCGTGCCCAAAAATGGTCACCACGGTCTTGAAGGATGGGTGAATGTGTTTGGGCCCATAGAGGCCCACGGTGATCTTCTTGTGGATGAAGTCCCACACCGTGGAAGGGTAGAGAATGTTGGGGCCGTGGGCCACAACGGCCAGGTACATACAGGGCTCTAGGTTGTCCAGCTGCACCTGGACCGTGTCCCCATAGCTGTAGGTGAGTGGGATGGGGACATAGGGCCCCTCCTTCAAGTCACTCCTCAGGCACTGGAGACCCACCGTGCTTTTGCTAAAGATGTCGTTTTTCACCTCGGCCGACACTTTCATCTCCACGATGATGAAGGTTTTCACCTCCAGGGTGCTCACCTTCACCTCCAGCACCGGGCTGACGCTGCTGCACCTGTCGCTGTTGAGCTCCAACGGGGGGTCCAGCAGGGCTTTCATGGAGATCTGCTGCGTCTCCCCCGGGGCCACGTGGCCCTCGGGCACGTGGATGCTGATGCCGCTGTCGGGCAGCTGCACGGCGCCCCCGGAGCTGTCCAGCTTGCACGCGATGCTCGTCTCCACCGCCTGGGTCTGGCCCCACCCGGGGCTCTGGCCCAGCAGGTCCAGATCGTGGCAAGACCGGGCCAGCTTCCGGTGGCTCAGCCAGGCGGCACGGAAGTCCTCCCGGCTCTGGAACTGCTCCGGGGCCGGGGATTTCAGGCCCGTGAAGAAGCCCGAGGAGTCGGGGGCGTCGGACTTGGCCTGGAGGACGGAGAGCTCCGACAGGCTGTAGGAGCGCTTGCTTCTGAAGAAGGGGTTGTCCCGCCTGCCCGGCGCCTCGGCCTGGAGGCGGCCTGCGGCCGGCAGCTCGTCAAAGATGTTGCCGACGCTGTTGGTGGTCGCGGAGCTGGATTCGGTGAACGAAGACGTGCCCGTATCAAAAAGGAGCAAATCCACGGTGCTTCTGGGGGTCAGCTCGTCCAAGCTGGGCATCGCCGGCGCGTTCCCGTTCAGAAACGGGTTTGTCTGGGCCCCGTTCCAGAAGGGGTTATTGCTGTAGGTCTTGCTCGGTCCCTTGTCCTCTGTCCACCCCCCGAGCAGGTCTAACTCCTTGGCCACCTCGTCTGGGCTGTCTGGAAGATGGTCGATCACCCCGCTGTCGCTCAGGGTGGAGTCCCGGTAGTTCAAGGGCTGCACGTAGGAGGACGGGATGTAGCCCATCTCCGTGGTGCTGTGGGCGTACCACCACTCCCCGCCGGACGCGTCCAGGACGTAGAGGTGGTCGCCCTTGGAGAACTTGAGGGTGGTGAAGTTGGCTGGGTGGTAGTCCTTGATTGCGATCACTTCCTTTGCATTCCCGAACGGTGTGGGATTGTCTACGAGCAAGGCACTGGGGGAAGGCACTGCATAAAACACAAAGAAACAGGGGGTGAGGGCGAGGCCCACGGGCGCCGCGGAGCCCTGGCCGGAACCAGGGAGGAGGGAGAGCGCTCTGGGCGGCGAGGGCAGAGCGCCGGGCGGCTGTGCCAGAAAGAAGTCCCAGGGAACTCCACTGTGCTCCCGAGGGCCGGCACCGCTGTCCCAGTCCGCTGGGCGGGAGGGCTCATACTCCCGTTTCCCCGGGATCGCTTCGGAAACGCCATCTCATTTTTAAACCTTTTTTAAGCTCTACAGATTTTATTTTTAAGTGACCTCTGCACCCAACGTGGGGCTCGAACTCACAACCCCGAGATCAAGAGTCGCAGGCTCCACCGACTGGGCCAGCCGGGCGCCCCCGATGCCATCGGATTTTGGCCAGAGTTTTCCTCATGTAACTGACTTACCCGGAGCTGCCACTGGGCCGAGAGAGAAGCCGAAAGTGACTGGCTTAAAACCTGTCACATTCTGAGCGGGGTGACCCATGGCCTGTAGCCAGGGACGGGACACGAAGAGCCTGGAATAGGATCTGAGTTCGTGCGCTGGTCCCACGCTCTGCCTTGAACGCAGAACACGTGAATGGGGGGAAGGTTCCCTGACAAGCAGACCCGTCTCTTACGTTTCCAAGCTGAACCCACTCCTCATCAAAATAAGACTTTGGAAGGGCGCCTGGGTGGCTCAGTTGGTTAAGCGTCTGACTTCGGCTCAGGTCATGATCTCATGCTTCGTGGGTTCGAGCCCCGTGTCGGGCTCTGGGCTGACAGCTTGGAGCCTGCTTGGGATTCTGTCTCTCTGCCTCCTCCCTGCTCATGCTCTCTCTCTCTCTCTCTCTCTTAAAATAAATACACTTAAAAAAATAAATAAAGTAAGACTTTTGAGGCCGGTGCCTTCCAGCCTCCTTTAAATGATCATTCAAAATGACAGCTTGGAAAGGGGCTCTCCCGCATGCCTTGAAGATGAAAGGTTTATGTCCACGGTCATTCATGTCATCTCCGAGCAAGTGTTTAAGTCTGAAAACCCCCCAACTCGTTCAACAGCGACTCGAGCTAATTTCGGGTTCACGGCGTTCAACTATGTGTGCTCCCGATGTAGACAGCAACGGGAACCACGAAAGTCAGCTCAACAAGGGGTGTGTGTTTTGGAAAATATCGGACGATGAAATACCTAAGTGTCTTCTCTCCCACCCATACATGACAAAGCACATCCAGAGAAGGAGGAAAGCACCTTGTGAAAGAAAAGATAGCCCCCACCCCAGCTGTGCCTTGTTTCACAGGGTTTAGGGATAGTCTGGCTTCCTGTAAAAAACGTTAAGAAAGGCCCGTATTTTTAGTGGAACCTACACCCACGTCTTCTCTAATATACGATGAAGTCAAGAAGCGTTCTATTCTACCAAACTGGCCCTCCAAAAAAACAGCGTCTGCCAGTTTCCCTTTCCTTTGAAAAGAAATAATGGAACTGGAATTGTATTTCCTTAGCAAAGTCTGGGGAAATAAAGCAGGAAGTTTCTGTTTGTTTCCATGAACCAAGTTAGAGAGAGAAGCTTGGTAGAAAGCTCATCTGGGCGGTGAAGGCCGTCGCCTCCCGCCCTGCATGCGGGGCGGTGGGGAGAATCTGGCTCTGGGTTCACCGGGCACGGGCTTCCATCCAGACCTCAGGAGCCCGACATACTCTCTCAACAGGCTCTGGTGGAGATAACGTTCTGATGATGTGCTTAGCATAATGATGCCTAAGGACACACAAACTGTTATGTTAAAGGAGACATCGTCGCCACCCCTCCTAATTTTATTTTCTCCGTAGCACTTATCATTAACCAATATACCACGAATATTTTAGTGGGGGGGGGGGTGCTGCATCGCCCTATTAGGGTGAGAGCCCTCTTAGGGTGTTTTGCTCACAGTGGTATTCCCGGAAGGCAGCCTGCCACATAGCAGGTGTTCGACAAATATTCGTGGAATGAATGCTCCTCCGGTATGCACACACCAGAGAGGCCATAGTCATGTGCTGGGGTCAAGGTGTCGGCCAAAGGCAAAGCCAGAGTTCTCCGTGGCTGTGCCCTGCTATAAAAATCACCCCAAGGAGAAACCACTTCACAGTGAAGGGAGGGGAGTGAATAAACACATTCAAGTGAAAGAGAAGGACCCTGAGGGAGAGGTGGGGAGACAGGGGACGGGTCAGGCTGGGGTCGGGTGACAACAGCAGACCGCTCTTGCTTTGTTTTCCAGCCACCGTCTCCTGTAGTAGAAACCACTTTGTGTTTCCTTGACACATCTAATGAAAATGTCACATGAAAATTAAAACCAAATGAAAATTAGAGCGCGTGCCAGCTATTAAAATCTTGTTAGAGTCCCTCAGAAGTTATATCCCTATTATGTTCCCCAGAACAGTTCCCTTAGAGTGATATTTTTAAAATTAAAAACCAAAGCTATTAAGCAGGCTTTGTATATAGCCTAAGAGAACGTATCGATGCAAATTATCACTTTGGTTTCAACAGACTGAAGAATGAAAATGGTTTCACTTAAAATTCCAAGCACTCCCCTTAGCAGAGAAGCAGTAACATATTTCACCCAAGGATCAGGCTCATCCAATGGGAAATGGCGATCCTTCCGTGGAAATGGACTGTGGTATGAGCTCCTGCCAGACGGGTCCCTCCATCAGTCAACTGTCACAGAGCACCCGGGGACACCCGGTGGGGCGTCTATCCAATCCAACGCAGGAGAATCCCTATCGAATCCCATCTTAATGAATTCTGGGGAGTGCTGCTCAGATTCACAGCTATCTCTGATTTCCGTACGAAAAAAAAAAAAAAAAAAACCTTGCGTGTCGGGAAGTTCAGTGCACTGAATAATACATTTCTTACCCCTCCGCCTCGGTTCTTATACGGGCGGAACATTTATCAGGGGGCAGAGGATTTCACAGAGGACACTTTGGCTGGAATACCTTCCCACCTGTCTACCGTGGGGACGCAGGGGAGGCCACCCGCTGCCCTTGGGAAATGGGTTTGGGGCTCCCCCCCAGCGGACCAGCCCCAGCTCACATCCCAGGATGTCTCCTTTATCTTTTTCCCACAATCGGGGTGTTTAGGACTCTGATGCCTCTCAGATCATTATCATAATTTTGAAAAATTCAGCTCTCTCCTTTCGAGAACCCGGCCCAAACCCCCACAATTTATGCTCACGTTTTCCAACTTTAACCATGATCAGCTAGGCTATAAAGAAAACAATGCCCATTACTGGGCTATGAAAAATAAATGGTTCCATTATTTATAAAACTACCTGGTAACTCTGTTACTGTGATTAATAAAATCTCATGACTTCTTTTGCCAGTATGTGTGTTTGAGGAACATTTAAAGCAGTGCTCAAGGCTCCCAGCATAAAGCAGAGGCAGGAAGCGACTGAGGATACAGTGAAGGGAGAAGGGATTAGGAAGAGACAAATGGGGGACATACGGTTGTTAGGACATCAGGGAAGAGGGCCACAGTGTGACCCAGGAGACAGCAGTTTGGTTCAAGAACTATTCACTTAGCACTGACTTTGTGCCAAGTTAAAGATACAAAAGTAAAGGTCTGCTCCCACTGCTCAGCTTGTACTCTGGATGGCCCAGGGGGTAACCTCAACACGTTGTGGTCAACGCTGTAGGGAAGCCGCCTAACGATGGATGATGAGGATGTAACCCATGACACCAGTAAGCACCTAGTAAGGTCAAGGTGGACTTCTAGGAAGAAAATGACCCATCCATCTCACTGACCCAGTTGTGTCTGTTAGAGGAACCCAGAGGCTCAGGGTGATTGACCCTGGGGCCACCTCTAAACCAGGGGTCAGCGAACAACGGCCCCTGCGCTGTTTTTGTAAATAAAGTTTTATTGGAACACAGCCATATCCATTGCTGACTCTCTCCTGTGACTGCTCTCGAGCTGCGGCGGCACAGTGTGACGGAACCCGGAGGGCCTACAAGGATGAACATACTCCCTGTGTGACCCAGGTCCCTACCTTAATGTCACCCAAACTCAACGAGAGGAGAAAAGACAAACATATTCTGTATGAAGAAGTTTCATCACCAACGGGGAATTCATAACCTCCCAACCCACCAACAAAACAAAACAAAACAAAACAAATGGTTATTGTTCCAGGGCTGAATGTGTCGTCGTGAAGTTTAGAGAGCTAAAACTTAACATCTGAATGGGGCCTTGAGACCCTTGAAGGCAGAGAAGTCCTTGGGTCTCAGAGCACTTACAAATCTGCCCCCTCAGCCACAGCTGTGTCTCTTGGGAGCTCACCTTTGACATCATTAAAGCTCGTTTCTGAAAACCCTTCGGTCAGGTCAATCAGGGTCCCCTCGGACTTGCACCGAGGGAGGCCGCCGGAGTTGGCCGCTCGGATCCGCTGAGCTGCCATCTTGAAATCTCTTCCTGGGGGGACCGGGGACCGCTAACGTGTCATATCTCCTCCTCCAGGTATCCTGGCGCTCGCTGAAGCTCTCCTCAGGCAACCATGCCGCACACGGGTCAGCTGGGCGATGTGCTTCTTCCTGAAAGTGGGGGGAAAAGGAAAAAAAAAAAAAAGGAATTTCCCTTGAGCAAGCGCGACATAGGTTGGACAGGAATTTTGTGGGCAGTGGGAGTCCTCTTTCTTCCAGGGCCATTCCAGTCAAGACAGACCCAGGACATTCTTCCTGGCCCGAGAGAGCGAGGGGGGGCCCACTCCCCGGATCCTGTGCACACCCTGTTCCCATCTCACCCGCTGTGCGGGCGCACAGAGCCGGGCAGCGCATCCTGGCCTGCTGTTCGCACCCTCTCTTCCTGGGGTACAAAGGGGCTTGTGAAGTTTGTTCTAGCACCTGGCCGGCCTGTTCATCACGAAGAGGGGGACGAACGGGATCTGTAGACTCCACGTGGCCGGTTCCGGGGTTCAGGGCAGAAGAAATGAGTCCGTGTGCCCAGACAATGGCTGGTCCCGTTAGAGGCATAGCCCCGGCCGCGATGCTGGATACTCCGGAAAGCAGCACTCAGCACAGCACCTCCTGTGGCCCCGCCTCGGGGGGGGGGCGGGGGGGCTGCTCCCTGCCTGCCCACGCTCCCCTAAAATCCTCCCTGGATCCCCAACAACCGACAGTCCTAAATAAGACACACACGTCGCCACTTCTGCGCATGAGGCCTTTGCGGAACGTGTGCCCCTGAAGCTGGCATATGTGCCCAGACGGTGTCACCGAGCCTCCAGAGCCACTCTCGGGCCTGTTTCTTTCCGGAAGGGGCACAAAGGCATCTGGGGGGCTCTCTCAGGAGATGGTGACGTGATCAGCTGTGGGATGACCCTGGCCAGCCCACGGAGGGGAAAGAAACAGCCAGGAGCCAACCTCAAAGCGGCAAATACCCCATGCTCTTCCCCGGAAACGGGCGGCCACGCCATAGCTGGCCGCACCTGTCGGGGCACGGAGGGACCCGAGGGCAGGCGAACTGTCTCACCACGGCTCGTGTGACCGGTCTCCGGTCCCTGGCTCCCTGGCTGCGCCCTTCAAGGACGGCTGGGAATACGGCTTCTGGCCCAGATGAGTGGCCTTCACCAATGAGAGGGACCCGCATGGCCCCAACACCGCCTCCTGCAGCGGCAGGGGGGTGGGGTGACCTAGCCCGTCCGCCTCTACCCTTCCCCCAGGCTCCGCACGCAGCCTCCCGGGGGCTCAGTGCCAACCGTACAGCGAACACACGCAGGTTTGCGTCCAAGCTCTGCCGTCCGCGGGGACGTCTTGTGTTCAGCGTTTAAGTCGGTGGCCTCAGTTGTTGCACCTGTGACGCGGGGCCAAGACAGCACTGCCCTCACCAGTGTGTGGGGAGACTGAATATGAGAATCCGTGTAAGGCGCTTGGAACGGGGAACAGGGGCTCACCGCGGCCCCGGGCGTTCTCAACCACCGAACGCCACACTCCTCACTGGAATGCTCTTGGAGAGAAGGGGGAGCGGAGCTGGCCGCGGAGGCCGGTCATCAGGCCAGAGGTGGCTCTGTGCCCACCAGGCAAGACGTGGCCATGTGCATGGGGAGCCCGCGGGCCCCGGGATACAAGGAGAGCCCACCCCTGGAGCAGCCTGGCTTCAGAAAAGAAGCGTGATAAGATCCATCACTGAGGCGAGAGGATGTGAGAATCCTTTGGGTCCAAAAGACGGGTCTCACCTACTGGCAGGAAGAGAGAAAATGGGACTCGTGTATGGGGGTGGGGGGAGGGGATCGGAGAGGACAGGCGGGGGGGTGCGGGGGAGCTTCAGGACAGTTCTGAGACCATGACCTGTGCTTGCCGGGTAGACCTGCAAATTAACCACCCAAGATTCTAGGTCTGACGGTGCCTCCTGGAGATACAGCAGCCAGCCAGCCAGACAGACACGGCCAAAGCCAGCTGGCTGTGAAATCTGACTGGCACCCTCGGCTCGTCCCATGAGGGCTCCCCCCCCCCCCCCCCCCCCCCCCCCCCACTGCAGAGCTGCCCAGGGCACTCGGTGAACGGGGTGGGGAGGGGGAGGGCGAGTTCTTCGCTCTCACGGCGAACAGGGCTGGCGTGGCCCTGTTCCCGAGGACCCCGAGGCAGGCTGGGGGGGCCCCCGTGCTATAACACTGAGAGTCCAGCCCGATTAGCTGCCTGGGGGAGGCCCGGAAAGCTACCCAGAGTAAGGGACATGCCGGAAGGTTCTGGAGGCTGAGGAATGGTCGGCAGACAGAGCGGGGCCCGGGGGCTACCTGAGCGCTGGGGACCGGCGAAGTGAGGAGAGAGAAGGCAGCCCGCCCAGGTGGCAATGGGGCTGACCTTGGAGACCACGACCTTGGTCCTGGAGACCACGGGAAGTCACAGAAGCTTTCTGATGGAGGACACCTGGCCGCAGTTGAGCAAAACGGAAGCAGCGATGCCGTTACTGACAGTGCAGTTATGGACAGGCTGCAGAGGGCTGGGGGGGGGGGGGGGGAGACGGGTGCACGGGGCGATCGGCAGGGGGCACCTGCCCCAACACCCCCCACAAAGTCCTGCAGGGCGACTTGGTGTGGTCGTCGGAGGGGCTGATTTCATGCAGGGCAGGGAGAGCGAGAGCCAGCAGCTCCCCTGAGGTGCCTGCAGGACAGGGCACGGCTTCCCAGCGAGCACTCGGGAGAATCTGCGGGCTGGCAGATGGAACTGGAGATAAACGTTTACGAGTGGTCAGATTCCTGCATTCGCTATCACCACCGAGAAGGCAGCGGCGGCGGGGAGGGGGGTGGGCGGTGAATCCGGGCTTAGGGGTGAGCAGAGGAGAAAGCGGTTCAGGACGTCACTGGGATTTCTGGAGATAGATCATTGTTTTTGTTTACTGTTGATGGGGGACCTAGTTTTTTACCCTGAGCCAGCAGAGACACAAAGGCATGTTAGCAGTTACATAAAGAGATCTGCAGTCCTTTTTAAAAACAAAGATACCCCCAGAGAGGGTGCCATTCAAGGAAGAGATAAGCCACCGACTGTACATCCTGACAAGCCCAGCACTCATCAGCCAGGGTGAATTCAGTCGAGGCACCAGAGCGAGGCTCCCGGGCAGCCAGAAGCATCGCGTGCTCGCCGAGTTATCAACGCACTCGTTCATGCTACCCCTTCCCGGGAAGAGGGACGCTTGTCCCGTGGCGCTCAATGCCCTGTGTAAAGCCCAGAATGGCAAGTTTTCTTCAGAGACAATGGGAGACCATCCTTGGACATGTCCTGACAGCAAAGAGGGGAGCCGGCCCTCGCTGGACAAGCCTGGCAGACTCTCTCTTCCTGGAACCTGGAACCTTCCCTGACCAGATACCATCAGGGTGAGGGTTCCCAGAGAAGCTCCGCATCTCCACTCATTCCAGAGCCAGGCATGGAGAGATTGCTGGAGTAACTTGCCCAGGAGGCGGGTGATGCTCCAGGGGTGGGTGATGCTCCAGGAGGCGGGTGATGCTCCAGGAGGCGGGTGATGTTCTAGGAGGCGGTGAAGCTCCAGGAAGCGGGTGATGCTCTAGGGGGCGAGTGATGCTCTAGAGGGCGGGTGATGCTCTAGGGGGCGGGTAAAACTCCAGGAGGCAGCATGGACAAAATGCCTCGAGTTCTCCCTAGCCTTGCTAACTACCTCTCTCCAGACCCAGAGTGCACCAGGCCCGTGCTGCCGGCGGCTGTGGGATCCCCGATTCCTCCTGCTGTCCCTTACGGAAGCGCCCTTTTGTCTCAAGGCTGTCCCATCGACGTCAGGTCACTGCCCAGCTCAAAACTCCCTGGTGTTGCTTCCTGCTTTTAAATCCGCGAAGTTTGACCTCCCTGCCCTGGCATTCAGAGCCCCCCCACGACCCGGTTTCCACCTGCCATTCCGGGCCTGTCACTCATCTGCACCCCAACGTGAGTCAGTGACCACACGCGGCCCTGCTGCCTCTCAGGTGCGCCCGGCGCTCTGTGGCTCCTGCTCCCTGAGCACCCTCCCCTCCCCTGCGCCTCCAGGAAAACGGTCCTCTCCACCCTTCTCGCTCCACCCTCCTCCCCACAGGCCTGCAAGCTTCTCCAGTGACTCATGTGCTGCCTCAGATCTGCAGTCATCGTCCCCGAGCTCCACGTTCAAGTTGCCGGAGCTCAAGGAGCACGCCCCCGGGAATCAGTCCCTGCTTCGGTCAGAAAAGTCGTGTCGGGGTGAACAGCTCAGTGCTCCGATCCGCTTTGTCACGAGTTCGAGTTCGTGAAGCTTCCTCCCAGCACAGGACACTGTTGTCACGTGTTATTATGTCCACCAGACGCGATGCCATTTTCCCCATTTACGGTTTTTAAATTATTTGCTATTTTCTTACTATTTTCCTATGTGCGTACGTCTTTTAACGGGCCTGCAATCAAACAAACAAAAACCACGAGGAAGGTGATGTGAGGAACCATTCATCACCTGCCTTGCCGGAGAGAGACGGGGAATGTTGTTGTACGCGTCTCCCTTTGCCCCGGGGAAAAACTCTAAGGAGCCACGGGGTCACATGGCCAAGGCGCTGAGCCCCCTCACAGCCTCACCAGGAGACACGGCCGGGTTCCTGCTCAGCTGGACAAGAAACCCCAAACCCAGCTCACCGAGGGCCCCCTCAGAACGGAACCTCCCAGGTCCGAACCCAGCTCGGGGGCTGCCTCGGGCCCCCTCCAGGCTTCACCACCGCGGTCGTGGCTGAACGGCACGTTCAACCAGCCACAGAGCTCGGTCTCCCTCCCCAGCAGCTCCCTCCCTCCTCCCCTGTGCCCCAGCAGCCACCCCCCTACTCCGTGGAGGCCGGTGGGCCC